GAGCGATCTTCCTTTCATGCACATCCCCCTTCGATATTTGATCTACCGAAGAGGACACACATTCACTTCACTTACCCGGCCTCTGAAGCCGAGGAAGAGGAAGCTGATGTCGCAACATCACGAGATAGCTCCTCTCTTGAGGGCTATCAATGACATGATGGAAGTCCTTCTAGGCCCACATTCTCACAAGGCCAAGAAGGCGCCTTCGGAGTAGAGGCCCAACCTGCAGCATCCATTGCTGCAGGGGTTACCCCAATTGCAGACCTGGTCACAAAGGCCGAGTTCCAAGCCTTTGTCGATTCAGTGATACGGTCCTTGGAAGACCTTAAACTTATCATTCAAGGGATTGTTGACAACCCACCCTCAATCGATACCACTGACCTTCAACAATCCCTTGCAATCCTGCAACGCCACCTCTCCCAAATTGAAACCCAAACCCGAGACAATACCACACGTCTCCAAATGCTCCAATAAGCCATCACCCAACACCATAACACCGCATCCTCCCTTGCCACCCAAAGAAACCAAATACTCATCCACTCCATTGCCACCCTCATGGCCCAGGCAACTGAGGCCGATGAGAACCTTACCTACATCATCACCCAACTACATACCATCCTCTAAAACTTTAACAACCTACCATCTCCATCATCTCCCAAATCCCTCAACAAACCCCACCTCCATCCACTTCATCTATCGATGAAACCCTTGCCACTCTTACCCACCAAATGGCCACCATCCAAACCACCCTCACCCAACTCCCCGCCATAATATTAGCCCAAATCCCCCAACCTACTCAACCCCAACCTCCCTCTGCAGGCCCATCCTTTGATGAAACCTTCTCCTCATTCACTGCAAGGTGAAAGATCTCATCACCAACCTTCCCATCCCTCCATCTACATCTGTCAATACCTTCGTGCCACCACAAGCCTCCTCATCAACCACAGAGTTTGCAATCAGAGCCGACCTGCGGGATCTGTCCAAGGCACTCGTCTCATCTTTCAATGAGATTAGTGCCAAATTCGTTCATCGTGTCATCCATCCGACCAGGGTTCTCCCCCAGAACCTGGCCGAGGAACAAAGGCGCACCACTTCTCTCCTTCAAACGATGGAGGAGAGCCGAAGACAAGCAGCCCTGAAGGTGTATATTGCGTCCTTCAGGAAGGACAAAAAGAATAAGAGGAGCAGAGCCTCTTGCTCCAGCAGCCACCAACACAAGAGGCCACGACATGAAGACCAAGACCTCGATGATCAAGGTCTTGGACCTCATGAGGGGGAGACAGAGGCCGCAGCTGCACAACAAATGGAATCCGCTGCATGACCACCACCACCATCACAAACTCAACCATCACCCTTAACCGAAGGAACCCAAGCAAGGGAACCAGAGGCTCTGCCCTCTGAAGATGTACAAAATGTACATGTTCCCTCAACGATGAAGAGCCAACCACCCCACCAACAGAAATAAACCAACCTTTTACTTCATCACCCACACCAAACCTACCCTTAACCCCTTCACCAACCCCTCACACCACAGAACCCTTCACCTTATCCATAGAACCAGAACCAACAATAATCCAACCTTCACCCCAACAACCACAAACCCAAACAGAACCCCATGAACCAGAAACCACCTAAGCCGAACCCAATGAACCACAACCAACCTAAGCTGAACCAACCCAACAAAAAACCATACCTTCACCAAGCCATACACAACCCTCAACCCAACCACCAGTGGTGCAAGCGGATACTCCCTCTTCGTCAAGGCAACCTCCACAGAGCTTGGTTGATGAGATTATACAGAACATGGAGTCGCTGCGAAGACGTCCAGAGTTGCCACCCAGGGAACCCATTATGATGGAAAACATCCATCAATACTTGTACCAAGACCGCAATGAAAGTTTGACCATCAATCCTCCGATTTTATCGCCCGAGTCCATGGACCTCTTACACCATAGGTTCATTAGACAGACCACACAAGCACCACAGGCTGTCTTCTCGAACGATGGGATAAGGAGTGTCATGGATCTAAAAGTGAGGACCTTCGCCAATAGAGCCATTCGATACATCTAGTTCACAGTGAAAAGAGCACATGGGTAAATTAGCATGTTCAACGAAAATGACCTCATCAACCTCAATCCCTATGACTTGATTGAACTGTACACATACACGGCTCAAAGGTAGGACCACAGCATCAGGTTTGGAATGGCGAACAGAGCGGTTGTAAAAACAATGGAGACCCTGGTAAACCATCGAGCAAAGAATGATTTCGAAATTGCTCTTCGCTTAGGCATCGAAAGACTTTCCTGCGCTCCACCAAACGAAGACTTCCAAGGCCTGCAGGAGAAAAGATCTGCCTCAGTCTTAACTCAACCCGAACTTGGACTTGTTTACAAGAATGAGTTCGGGGMAAAGAAATTMTTCAGACTAACTGAGGCATTCAAGTATTCATCGGATACACTTGAATGGTTTTAGAAAGTCATCAAAGAAAGACTGGGTAGAAATCACGTGCCAAGAGAAGAAGGGAGTCAACTCATCCATGAGATTGACAGTTATCGGCTATCGAAGACTGCTTCTGTGCTTCAGAGATAAATTTCAAGGTAAATCATGATGAGTTGTAAACTTGTGCCTTAAAATGATGTCTTTTGATTCCAGTATTGTAAGAATTTCATCATCCAATTAAAATTTGGAAATTGATGTTTTTCTTTTAGATTAGTCTTTGTTCTTCATAATTGTTTCTAGATTAGTCTATGTTTGTTCTTTCATTACTTAGGGGGAGATTGTTAAGTCCCATAATTCATAAAGTGAAAAAGTAATGAAAAACAATAAGTGATGAAGAACCAGAAGAACGATGAAGACATCAAGGCAGAATTGGCCAAGTCTGGAGAACAACCAGAGGGCCGATGGACAACCAGGGATGCGATGGAAAGAGCATCTTCATCGCCCCTCTGGTCAACAACACTTGAGAGAATTATTCAGCAAATCATCCAGAGGCATATGATGAAGATTTAAAGATAAGAATGATTCATCATACAATGGAAGACAGCTGGAGATGACAAGTCGACAACTACACTTCAAGTTTATCTTAATATTAAAGCTTATCAACAGTTTAGATAAACATTATCTGTTAATAGAAGATTAGCTAAAAAGTCTCGTTAGATAGATATCTTCTAATTAGCTTTCTAGTATAAATAGGTGATTAGGCCTATTGTACTAAATGTCTCTTTTTACGTTTTTCTTATCAATAAAGTTAAACCTTCGACGCTCAAGACTGTTCTTTATTGTTTATAATTCATTCTTGAGTGTTCATCACTTTCTCCATTAAAACACTATAATTTGGTTATTCTTAACTAGATTATTAGTGTTATTGAGAGATCTGGGATCAACATTATCAAGCATCAGTCACCTTATCAGCTAGTTGTCAAGCATAACTTAAATGTCTTACAAGTTAAAAGAATAAAATATGTCACCTTATAAACTCAGGATATCGATTGTTTATTGATATTGTTGTTCTGGTTACATCAAGAGAAGAAACGAACCCTATATATAAACAAGAAAACATAAAAATGAAACCACTAAATAAGGAGATAAATAAGGAGAGGATATGGACCAAGAATTGAAATCCAATACTCCCCCTCAAGCTGGAGCATGTAAATTGACAACGCCCAGCTTGTCCAGTAAGAAACGAAGTTGCGAAGCTCCAAGCTCCTTTGTGAGAAGGTCAGCAAGTTGAAGCTTTGAGTCGATGGACATAGGACAAATTTCCTTGGATTCAACACGTTCACGAACGAAATAACAGTCCATTTCAACATGTTTAGTGCGTTCGTGAGAAACCGGATTGTTGGCGATATGCCGAACTGCTTGATTGTCGCAGAAAAGTGTGGTAGAGCCAAATTGTGGAAGGCCTAGCTCTTGTAAAAGCCATCGTAACCAGATGAGTTCACTAACAGTTAAAGCCATGGCACGATATTCAGCTTCAGCGGATGAGCGTAAGACAACGGACTGCTTTTTTGTTTTCCACGAAATAGGAGCACCACCAAGAAGAACAAGGTAGCCGATTCGAGAACGCCTAGTGAGAGGGCAACCAAGCCAATCTGAATCAGCGTATGCAACCAGATTCGTGCCACCTTCTTTCGGTAAAAGTATGCCTTGACTGGGAGTGGCCTTGAGATATCGAAGAATTCTAGACACGGCATCCATATGACTCTGACGGGGGTCTGAAACAAACTGACTGAGAATGTTAACCGAATAGGCTATGTCCGGACGAGTGGCCTGGAGGTAAAGGAGTCGACCAATAAGACTTCGATAGCTACTGGCATCAACCTTGGGTTCTTGATCATCCATATCAAGCTTTAGATTTTGTTCAATGGGGAATGAACTCGGGCGACATCCTCCCATGCCACTGTCTTCTAATATATCAAGAGTGTACTTCCGTTGGCTTAAAACAAGACCACAAGAAGTTCGGGCCACCTCTATTCCAAGGAAATATTTCAGTTCCCCAAGATCTTTGATGCTGAACTTGTCATGCAAACATTGTTTGACTTTGTGTATCTTCTTGGAATCGTTTCCAACGATGATGACGTCATCGACGTAGATGAGAATGGAAAGGAAAGTGTTGTCATGTTTGTAGAGAAAAAGCGAATGATCTGCCTTGGATGAAGAAAAGTCAAGACTGAAGAGGGCAGTGGTAAACTTTTGATACCAGTTTCGAGAGGCCTGTTTGAGACCGTAGAGAGATTTTCGCAGACGGCAAACACGATCGTCTTTCTTTGTAAAAATCCTTGTGGTATCTTCATATAAACTTCTTCATCAAGATCACCATGAAGGAAGGCATTATTAACGTCGAGCTGGTGGATGAACCAATTGTTTTTAGTAGCCACGGATAATAACGTTCGAACAGTTACCAGTTTAGTTACCGGAGCAAACGTATCATGAAAATATTCTCCTTCGATCTGGGTGAACCCCTTTGCGACGAGTCTCGCTTTATATCTTTCGACATCTCCATTTTGCTTGTATTTGATCTTGTAGACCCATTTAGAGTCAATGGCTCGTTTTCCTTCTGGCAAAGACTCAATTGTCCATGTGTTATTTTGTTCAAGGGCTTGAATCTCCTTCTTCATGGCTTCAATCCATCTTGGGTCTTGCATGGCTTGCTTAAAAGTTTTCGGCTCATCAGTGGTGGTGATGGCGCCAAGAAATTCTTTTGAATATTAGAAAAATTATTATAAGAAAGATAATTGGCAATGGGATGTACCGTTGAGGTGGCTTGAGTTGATGCGGTATGTGCATGGTCAACCGAAAGGGGAAGATCAACAATGAAATCATTCAGGCGTTTAGGTTGTGTTCGGTCTCTCTTTGGTCGAGAGTTTCCCAGATCAGTGTGTGTTTCGAGATTTTGAGGAGGTATCTCTTCATGGATTGTGTCTAACCTACTTCTATCATTCTACATCATGTGCCCATCCAAGTTCAGTGGGCTAGAGTTAGGCCCATCATCTTCCACCTCGTAATTTTGCTCATGATTTTGGCCTTCAACTTCTTGAACTTGTATGGGAACAAAGACATTAGAATCATTGGAAGCTTGAGTTTGGGCTGGGAAGATAAAAGTGCTTTCATGGAACCTCACTTCTCGTGACACCACCATTTTCTTGCTTTCAATATCAAATATTTTGTAGCCTTTTGTCCCATGAGGATAACCTAGAAAAATTCCTGGTCTCCCCCTTACTTCGAACTTGTCACCCTTTGTGTCGATACTCCAAAAATAATTAGACAACCAAAGACCCTCATGTGATTATATTCGGGTTTTTGGTTGTATAGTAATTCATATGGAGTTTTATCACCAAGAGTTTTAGATGGTAATCGGTTGATGATGTACGCAGCGTTAAGAACGCATTCCCCCAAAACCTTTTTGGCAAATTGGCTTCAAAACGTAGAGCTCGAGCCGTATCGAGTAAATGTCGGTGCTTACGCTCAACAACCCCATTTTGTTGAGGTGTGTGAGGACACGTGGTTTCTAACAAAATGCCTTGCTTGGTGTAAAAGTTCAACATGAGATTTGACGTGAATTCTCCACCATTGTCACATCTTATTCTTTTGATGCTTTTATTAAACTGGTTTTCAACCATTTTGCAAAAATTCACCAAACAGGTACTAGCATCACTTTTATATTTAACGAGAAAAATCCAAACATTCCTACTGAAATCATCCACAATGGTCAAGAAATAATTTGCTCCAGAGAATGAAGGAATTCGATATTTTCCCCATACATCACAATGTAATAGTTCAAAACATAATTTGGTTTTAATTTCACTTAACGGAAAAGGAGATCTCGTATGTTTAGCTTTGGAACAGGAATCACAAATACTATTTCTAAGATTAAAGGAAACACCTTTGAGAAAATCAACTTTAGCTAGATTTTCTTGCGATGTGTGACCCAACCTCTTATGCCATCTTTCAACAGTGACTGTCATAGCTTTCCTTTCTTCCTCAAACATCCCCATTCGATATAGACCTCCCTTGCACTTACCCGCACCAATCAAGTTCCTTGAACGGAGACCCTGCATTACACAAAAATCAGGAAAGAATGTCACAGCACATTGAAGGTTTTTGGTTAATCGGCTAACGGATAAAAGATTACAAGTAAACTTTGGTACGTGTAATATGCCCTCGATCTTGGTGCCTCCCGGTAGAGTATAATCACCCTTACCCTCAACCGGGATGGTATCTCCACTAGGGATAACCACGGGCATTCCAAAAGGGTTTTTTCTTTTGTTAACAAGGATATTACGTAGATAGGTTGTGTGATCGGTAGCCCCCGAATCAACAATCCAATCATCCTTATTATCAATTCTACCTACCATGTTGGCTACTCGTTTGTTCCCTTCATCACCTGTGTTGGTTCCACATTCAAAGTGTTTCAAGAAGAGATTGTATTGCTCGATAGTGAGTCCGGAATGGGACTCGAACCACCCTCAACGCAGGAGGCCCTCGGCTTTGTCTTGTATCCCTTCGCTTTCCCTAGCCACCACTCAGGGTAACCAATCCATTTGAAGCAATCTTCTCGATTATGTCCATCCCGATTACAATTAGTGCAGTGTTGTACCTCTTCTTCTTGTTTTGTTGTTTTCGAATAGGTCTTTGTTTTCTGTTGTGAGGAGAAAAGTTGTCACGTTTTGGAGGAACAAAAGCCTTAAAGGCGGCGGCTTCCACAGTAGGCTTCTTATCTTCGGTTATCAGCTTTTGTCGTTCATCTTCTGCAACAAGATGATAGGCTGTCCCGAGACCCGGAGTTGGTTGGGTGGCAAGGATTTGGGTTTTGATAACTCTGAACCCGTTGTCGAGACCCATAAGAAACTCGTACAGTCTCTTTTTTTTATGTGCAACAAGCCGCTTACCGATGTCACACGTACACCCATTACACGTGCACTGTGGGATGGGGAACACCGACTGGATTTCATCCCATAATGATCGAAGCTTTGTGTAGTAAGCCGAAACGGTGGCGTCGTCTTGGTGTGTGACAGCGATCTTGTTTTTTAGTTCGTATGCCCTCGGTGCGCTCTCTTTCCCAAATCGTTCACGAAGATCGATCCACATCTCAGCAGCGGTGTTTGCGTATTTCACGTTGCCTCTTATTTCTTTTTCCATGGCGGTGGTGAGCCACCCCTTTATCATCGCATCCACTCTCATCCATGGCATGTAATCCTTGGATGTCTTTTCTGGCTTTTCAATTGACCCGTCGATGAAACCGATCTTATTTTTTGCGAATAACAAATTCTCCATCTCCAGTACCCAATCCGCATAATTTTTGTCTGACAATGCATCATTGACTTGCATTTGTCTAGGGTAATCGGAAGGGTGCAGGTAATATGGTGAGTTGTAATCAACGACGTTGTCGCCGTTGTCTTTTGCCGATGTTGCTACGTCGCCGGCCATGTGTTTCGTCGGAGTAGTAGGATCACTGCTCTGATACCATTATAAACTCAAGATATCGATTGTTTATTGATATTGTTGTTCTGATTACATCAAGAGAAAAAACGAACCCTATATATAAACAAGAAAACATAAAAAAGAAACCACTAAATAAGGAGATAAATAAGGAGAGAATATTGATAAATAGGGAGAGGATATGGACCAAGAATTGAAATCCAATACATCAGTCAGCTTATCAAGTATCAGTCACCTTATCAGCTAGTTTGTCAAACATAACTTAAAAGTCTTACAAGTTAAAAGAACAAAACATGTTTAAAAAATTACAACAACAAAAAATCTTTTGTCTAATATTTTTCATAACAAAAATCTTCAATCAATTCCTCGTGATCAATGTTCTCCAAATATTCACTTTCCATACATTATTAAAAATTAGAATCTCACAGCGGATTTTTCGGCCAGAAAATCAGTAGTGAATTTCTGATAAATTGGAAAAAGTATATTTTTCGTTGACTTTTTTCACAAATCTACCACTATTTAAAAAACCTTATTTCGATAATATTTTTGACAGATTTTTTATTTATATATTATTAAAAAATAGGAACAAAATAATTTAATTTAAAAAATTAATATTAGTTAATTAAAATCAGTGACGGATTTTAGTTACAAAGTAATTAAAACCCGCCACTAATATTAATTAATTAAAAAATTATTTAACTTCTAAGAAAATTAAAATTTCCAGTAGATCAGTGACGGACCTCTAACCGTCGGTACAATGATGCCATGAAGCAATGGTGATACCACCGTATGGCCTCAAAATCTGCCGTTGGATGGATGACGGTTTTGTTCTCACGTTTTTACTACAACTTTCATTCTTACAGGAACCAACTATTCAATTTAGATATATGTTTTTAAACATCATACTGGAATTGAACATACTGTAGAACGCTAAACTTATCAAAACCGATACCAAACTACAATACACAATTAACCTCTCTTCTGCCTCGGTTTGCTATTCAATTTCAATTCGACGGTCTCTTTTAACACCCCTACGGTGATTTACATTCAACACTTACCGTCTCATTAGTACCAAAAAAACAGAACCTTAAACATATAGCAACATAAAAGCGGAATATATAAAAAAGACGTGTCTAACATCATACAGGCAAGCGTCGGATTCAAGCATGGGTGTCAATTAACGACTTCCTCATCTCATTGGCAATATCAGTAGGTTGGGTTTCCCTTAACTTGAAAACATTCTCGATCACCGATAGTTCTGTCGCTGTAGTGTCTGACCCACAAAATGCGGTCCAGTCGTTTACGATTAAGCCACCGGCTATGACTTCGCTACCACGGTTGACGGTGCCTGCCACCAATGGGACCTGGAGGAGGGTTGAGAGTTCATCCAAGTCTTCAATAGATGTGTGGGGGTGGACCAACCCACCTCTATTTGAAAATGCACAGTAGCTGCCCACAAGAACATTGCCTGCAATTGTCTGCCTAAAAACTTCTACACCAAGAACATCCGCTATCATATCTTCGGTTTCCTGATAACAAGACATGCATTAGCAACGGCATCACAGAAATTATCTCGCCTATATAGAACTAATATTTTAGGAGCTGTGCTTAGAGAGACTAAGAGCAGAGTCGTCTGACTGTCATACAGATTTCGAAGGACAGTCAAGGGCACAAGTTAGAATGAAGCAATATGAGGATCGGTCTATGCGGATCAGGGGCCCAGCTAACACATGAAACACTCCGCCTGGGGAGTACGGTCAAAACTCAAAGAGGGATCCGAAGCCAAAGGAAATACGGCTGAGTTTCAAGACTATGAGACTTTGGGACTAGCCGCATGCCATCTTTCTCAGAGTGAATAACCAGGTTTGTGAAAAGTGAGGAATAACACCTCCATCCGGAAATAAATGTCCACAATGAAAAAAGGCACATATTTTAATAAGGGAAATTTATAAAAATAACCGTTTTACACAACCCTTTGCCACAAAATAACCACAATTTTAGAGGTTTTGCCAAAATAACCATCCGGATCGCCCCCGTACATAATGGGGGCGATCCCCTTAAAAAAGTAAAAAAAAAAAATTCCTCAAAAGTCGAGATTACTGTTCACCTCGTTGACCGTGTTTGACCTCACCCGGGGGCGATCCGTACTATTCACGGGGCGATCCATACTGTTCACCCATGATTTTATTTTTATTTTTTAAATTGAAGTTGTATTTTTTTAACTTTTTTAAAACCAAAATTCATGAGGAAAAGATTTAAAAATAAATCTTTATAATTATGGAGACGCAAAAATTAATTTTCTCTGTTTTGTGTTTCGGAAATCAGATATAATATCTGATTGAAGAAATTTGACCTCTATTTTTTTGTTTTTAATTTTAAATTTCACGGTTTTTCGTTATAAAATAACCGGATGATAATTGTGGTTACGGAAAAAAAAATATTTAGTTGATTTTTGGAGAAAAAATCAGACATTATATATGATTTCACGGTTTTTGATGATATGACAACTCTATGACGTGATTTCATGTTTTGTGATGGTTGATTGTGTTTAGTGGGTTAAAGGTTATGATGGTTTATTGTGTTTAATGGGTTAAGGGTTGTGAGAGTAAAATATATGAGAAAAGAAATGGAATGTGTGAAAAATTATGAATTAGGAGGTTGGTATTTATAGTGAAAAAAAAATCAATTTTTTTTTACCCGGATCGCCCCCGGTAAATTGCGAAATTTAAGATTAAATATGTAAAAAGACACACTTTATGTATTTTTCCATTTTTATTAAAAACACCCCTTAATTGTTGTATAAAAATAGAGGTCAAATTTCGTTAATCAGATATTATATCTGATTTTCCATGAAAATTAATTTTTGCGTCTCCATGATTATAAAGATTTATTTTTAAATCTTTTCCTCATGAAATTTGGTTTTAAAAAAGTTAAAAAAATACAACTTCAATTTTAAAAAAAAAATTCATGGGTGAACAGTACGGATCGCCCCCGTGAATAGTACGGATCGCCCCCGGGCGAGGTCAAACACGGTCAACGAGGTGAACAGTAGTCTCGACTTTTGAGGAATTTTTTTTTTTTTACTTTTTGAAGGGGATCGCCCCCATTATGTACGGATCGCCCCCGGGGGCGATCCGGGTGGTTATTTTGGCAAAACCTCTAAAATGTGGTTATTTTGTGGCAAAGGGTTGTGTAAAACGGTTATTTTTATAAATTTCCCTTTTAATAAACATGTAACTATTCACTTTTCAATTAGATGACAATTTTATCCTTACTCTAAATAATATAGGTAGTAATGAACTTCTACATCTCATTGATCATATGAAGGGTAGAATTGGAAAGTGTGCACCTTTAACGGTGGACACTTATTTTGAGACAAACTAAAATACAAATGTGGACAACAAACTAAAATATAAACGTGGACACTCATTTTAGGATCGAAGGAGTATACTATTATGGTTAGAAATTGATCAAGTCAATTTCATTTTGACTGAAAAATGGGCAGAAAAATGATGAAAACATGACGATTGCTGAATAAATGTATTTTATGGCACAAGGGCATGGTGTACAATGCTTACCTTGTCAAGATCGGTATGAGTAAGAGCAACATGATCATTGCATGCCATGCAATTACCAAGAGCAGATAACTTCTCATCAATCCGTTGGACAACAACTTCATCAGGCAGGCTGTTCTTCAAGTGTTGAAGCTCTATAAAACGGATCAAAGCATATGAAAGCATGATCGATAATTGAAGAATGTGTCATATAAGCCAAAAACCGAAGTTTGACATCAAGTTACTTGTCAAATTAAGTTAAAGTTGCAACATATTACACCAAGTTTTACCAATTTTGTTGAAGCTCAAACAGATGTAATCTCAGTTACAAAATAGGACTTTAAATGTCAATTTGCAAAATTCAAATAATTTGAAATCGATATACTTATTCGACTTTTAATTATATTTAAACAGGATTACTAGTGTATCTAAAGCCGCTACTAAATTATCATATTTATAGTTTTCAAAGTTCCATGAATCGAATTTGGAAAAGGATCAACTCAAAAAGGTTTAACTATATCTATAATGTTGTTCTGGAGAGCATGCTACATAGAACATATCCTCTATGGATAGTCATCAGATTTTGAAGAAAATATTTATGACAACCAACTCCCATAGTGCCATTAATAACTCTTGGAAACTTCGATATACATGGATTTTACTTGTTATGTTATCAGGTAATACAACTCATTATAGAAAACAGTGATGGCCCAATCAATTAGCTGTAAGCTCAACTATGCCAAACGCCATATCCATTAACACGATCTACTTGGCAAATTATTGTTTATATTTAACTGGCACACTGCAAAAGGTTCCGGGTATATATATATATATATATATATATATATATATTCTTATTGATCATGGTATAATAACCTTTTTTCCCTGTAGTGGAATGTTTATTTCTTAACTTCTTTGTAGCGTAAGAAAGCCAGAGGAAAGGTGAAAGGAATAAAGTGCTCAAAGAATGGGAACGTCATCCCAGGTTATAAATAACAGGCAACTCAGTGAATTACCAGCAGGATTTGTACAAGTGGTTGGGATTTCCTCATAACAACCTAGAGGTTATGGTTTCAAATCCACCCTTGGCATGACTAGTGAACAACCAGCAGTGAGTCAATGGACAGAAGGCAAAAGATTCACCTACTTAGATGTAGTTTCCTAGGGGGGTTTTTCTGAAAGAGCAAGCTAATCCAAAAATAAAATATGCGAGTTCATAACCTTACCTTGGTCGGTAGTAGTATGAGGCAAGAGAAGACCTTTCTTATTTCCTACAAAACAATATCTAAAATCAGTTTTCAAAAGCCGAATGGGCATGTCATAATACTGATTGCAAAAGCTCATGAAATATTCACCAATGCAAAGCCTTCCAATAATCCTCGTACCACCAATAGAGGTTTTAACAACAGGAATAACATCGGCCAACTCGGACTCAAAAATGCTGCAAACCCACATCCAAGTTCTTGTAACGTATTAAAAAATAGCATAGTACAACTCCAATCACAAGCACAAACCTGTAGAAACTTTCAGAGCCTTCATCAGCTACCAGGCAGTAACCATTGGTCAGCTTTGTGAACACCCCAATTTCACATGAATTTTCAAACCGTAGCCCTGAAAAAATACATGCAACATTAGAGGAGTGATTTGGAAACAAAGAGTATTGTCTGCACAATCAGCAATGAAGTTAACTTGCAATGACTCCTAGTAGTTGAACTATTGAAGTAAGTACTGATAGGTTGGCATGATTGACCAGGTTCCAGCCAAAATCCGGATTAGAGGTAAAAAGCGAATATGTTGTGGAAAAGATTTGACAATTGAGTAAAGGTTAATTATCACCCAAGGGCCAAAATATGATGTGTTGTCTATTATAATCTTTGAAGGTGCTCTTATTTCTCGGATAATCTCTGCAGGTGATTTTAATACCTTGAAAACACCATTACCAAGGGTGAAATGTGTATTTCCCAAAACACCCTTATTAATGTGCATGAATATGTCTAAGACACAATGTCCATATAGTGAAAGCAATAACTAGATGCATGCACAACATCATGGATATAAGTGTAAAAGTGGCACAGGGAAGGGAAGACATGAGTTAGCTTACTTGTGGCCATGTTTAATGAGAAGTTGATGGATGGAAAATGGCTTCAGGAGCAAGGACCCTATCACAAAATATAACATCCACATCACATATTTATGTATTAGAGAATCATTAGCCAACTTTATGAAAACAAGCAAATCTAAAACCAAAATATAATGCATCCAAACAATTTATGTAAGCAAGGACATTCTCATGTTAGTATATTTCAATCCAAGAGTCTCATAAGTCATATCAAACAGAAGATTTTGATTCTGGCAATCACCATATTAATCGACGCTTAAAGCAGCAAACAACTTCCTCGAGCTCAAGATCCTTCCTCTATCCTACTTAAGCTAAAACTTCTATCTCCCCTCTATCAGGGAATCCAGAACAACATGAAAATGTTAATCACACGTCTCAAAAGGTTACTGTATAATGCCAAATTCATGGGTTCATGGTCTCTTCTAGGATTTAACTCATCCATATGCACTTAATTTGAAAGAAAATGAAGCCATCTGATTACAACATACAAAGAGAACCGCAAAAACAGATGTGGATCGGCCCTTCGAAAATGAGTATAGCAACTCGAAGAATCAAAATTAGGATCATATATTCAGTTGACTGAAGTTAAAAAAATAACAAGTTCACATCTACCTCAACAATCTATTTAAAGGAAAACCCCAATTCACTAGAAAATATAGAATCCCATATCAATAACATCAAGCTTTAAACAAGAAACAAGTCGGCACGTATCTTGATCGGTTCTATGATTAGATAAAACGCTTTCCAATCTTGAATATTGGACGATTCACAAGTTAAAGATCGATTTCAATCCAATAGCGCGTAATTCTTAAATTAACGCTTCAGGAACAAGGGAAATAAGTCAAGATTGGAGTAGGGAAAAGAGAACAGACCCGTAAAAACGACGAAGATGTAAAAATCTTGATCAATTGCTATAAGTTGAAACAGGAAACCTATCGGTCGAATGGAATTAGAGGTTTAAAAAGAGGCGATTCGTCTTGGGTATCCCACTATCCCACTTGTGTGTTTGTTTCCTGAACTTGATGACCAAGAAATGAACGTTGCCATCAAGTAATATATATAATATTGTTTCTATCTTTTTTGAAGAGCTCAAGTTTAATTTTACTTTTTGGAAAAAAGAATTCGTTTTTTATTTCTATAAATTGATAACTCTTTTTAAGAGGTGCAGTCGTATGACATAAGACTGTAAACGAATCAAACGAATGAACACGAATAGTAAACGAAAGAAAATCTTTGTGTTCGTGTTCGTTTGTTTAGAAATCAAGTGTGTTCGTGTTCGTTCATAAACGAGCAGGCCTAAACGAACGTAAACGAGCAGGCCTAAACGAACATAAATGAACAGGCCTAAACGAACATAAACAAACGAACAGCACTATTTGTTATTCAATTAACTATTAGATACAAAATATCTGGAGGTTAGGACTTTGGGGGAAAAGTGAAAAGGTAAATATTTCAAATAAGATAAAATGATGATAAAATTTAAATCTAAATAAATTTTAAAAAGTTAAAACTTAAATAAATATTATTTGAATTCAAACTAAATAAATAAAAGATTATTTATTAAATTTAATATATAAACGAAAGTTCACGAATATAAATGAACGAACGGGACTCTTGTTCATGTTCGTTCGTTTAACTAAACGAAAAAAAAATTGTTCATGTTCGTTTATTTATTAAATAAACGAACTTCCCGTCAAACGGTTTGCTGAATGTTCGATTCATTTACGAACCTAATACGATACAATACATTGATGCCTATACTAAGTCGATCCTTTCAAATCTCTTCCCACGTTCCACTCTCACCCTTCTCCTCTCCACGTTCCCAAGTATTCCTCCCTTCTCCCCTAAATCTGTACCTACGTTACATCGATCATTTGTACATGAATTCATCGTTTTCTTCTTACCCACAACAATTAGGAGAAGATCAGCTCCCTCTTTGTCTAACATTTGAAGGAACAGTCAAGGTATGTGCGCTCTTTCCTTTTCTACTGTCTTGTTCCATTTCTGTTCTCACTACTTTGCTTCAATCTCAAATTCATTGTAGTCTTCGTGGTCAGACATAGTCTTCTGTTCTTCAATTTGTTCCTTGCACTCTTCGATCTCCATTTCTCAACTCAAGAACACGAAGAAGAAGGATTTGATTCAGAAATATCAAAATCGCAATATGTGCTCAAGTTGATCGTAAAGGAGGTCAATAATCTCTTCTATACTCTTTGTCAAACCATAAGTTACTTTTCTGGGAGGAGTACTTAATTGGGGATGTATATTTGCCGTTTTCTAATGCTTTTGCTTTTAGAATTGTGGAGGATAGTGATTAGTGAAGAAGGAGTAGTGTCAAATATATGTATGTGATCTTTGTAAATCTTTTAACTTCTAAGAGAACAAAGGCTACGTCAAACACTTGAACCTGTGTTTTCCAAACACCAATTGGTATAAATTTTGTTCCATAAGTAAAACAAGAATTTTGTTTTATTGTTTCTTGTTCTAAAAAATCATCGTAGTTAGCATTTTTTTTCGTTGAAAAGTTGGAAAATCTGCATTGTTTCGGAAGTTATAAAGTAACTCGTTTGAGATCCAGCCTCAGGTTCAAAGTGTAGTTCTTTATTAGGAATGGTGGTTGTTTGAATTACCACCTTAGTTTGTAGGAACATTAACATAGTTCGTTAGTAGGATTATGTAATCGGGGGTATATTTTCCTGTTCCTTGATGGCTCGTTCAAATTTTTTGATTTTAATATTCCCTTCGGTTTCATAAAGGGAGACATATAATCTGGTTTTCAGGTCAACGTGCCTATTTTTCAACTGCAAAGTTGATAAAAATCCTTGAAAAAGGCTTGTTTATGGGAAATAGAGACATAATGGGGGAGATCTAACTGCTAACCAACAATTGGTTTTTGTCTCATTTTTAATCTAAACGGATGATTTGATCAATCTCTATTGGAACTTTCAGCTTGAATCTGAGTTTGATGGAAATTCAATTTAAGTTTGTTGCAATCTATATTTTCTATCTTGACTATCTCGTATGCAATTGGTTATTAATGTTTCATCCCCAAGTTCTTTTACTGTTTTACATACTGTAATGCTTTCTTTGTTGTACATACATGTAGGGTTATGCTGCCAGGGAGTTTGCAAAGCAAGGAGTCCAACCAGGCGAGCTAGCAGTCATTTCTAAGGAGGGGGTATGGTCATCAATTTTCCCTTTGTTGCTCAAAATTTTTTAGACTCGTGGAATACTTTTAAATATGAATATTTACACTGAAAAATGCATGCTTAATGGTTGAATATTGAATACGATAGATTGGATTCTTGCTTAACCATATTCTTTATAAGACCTTTCATTTCTTATGCTTTTCCTTTCCCCAAACTTTTTTATTACGGATGTCAGTATATTTTGGACTAAAGAGGTGAAAGAGAAGTGTTGCTTTGGTCGTAAATAACTAAAAGGGCTCATTGCTTTTCAAGAGTTGGCAAAAGAGGTCTTTTTAATCATTATTAGGATTCAGGATTGATAATCACACAAATAAATACAGTAGCAACAAAAGAAAATGAATCGATTATTAGACAATTGAACAATTTGACTATATCCATGGTTTTCTTATATGCTTTGTGAATGTTATTTCAGTATGAAGATGTCACACCCCGTTAAAGCGAAAACACGAGATGTAACAGGTAAGCGTGTCACATCAATAGACAATAAATAACACCATAAGTTTTACAAGATTACATCCATAACCAAGTTGGTGTTTGAATACTTCTTTACAAAATATACAAAATGAACTTAATCGGTGTTGCCACATATATGCTCCAAAAACTTCATTTCTTACTTAAATCCTGAAAAGCATGAAACATAAAACAACGTCAACTACAAAGAGCTGGTGAGTTCACGAGTTTTCATATGCACAAAACAATACGATGCATAAATCATTTTTTGCAAACCTATACATAACGTTTGCACATAATAAATGTAAATCTACAACGATGTTTTAAAACTTGAGACGCTACTGAGCCTTTCCTAACCAATGTGCCCCATTATTTTACGAACGACCATAAGTAGTCCGTACACTCACTTAGGTCCCACAGTTTGTAGTAGTACTAATTCAGCGGTTGTCCAAATTCCACATGATTAGACAAATAAAACATAGGTAATGTGCACCCCTTTCTGGGTGGGACTATCAACACAATAGCGGCTATCCACAATTACCACGGCTCGGGGACATGCCCGAGTTAACAAGTAGCGTTTACGGACGGAGACTTTATTTGGAAACATACTCTCAAGTACATCAATTTAGCATTTATATCATAGTGCAAAAATCGTCAATATTTCATGACATAAACAAATCTTGACTAAACAGTTCTTTAGTCCAACATTTTTATAAATAAACAGTATAGTTTGCATAACTTCATGTTTTTCCTCCAGTTTAAATAAACAAAAAGCATTAAAAGTGGGGCCGTGAATACTCACAAGTTAGCTGATGAATATCCAAGAACTTGATGACGTTTGAAGCGCTAAACGTCCGCCCTAACCTTCCTAAACAGTCCGAAATCCAATAATTAGATCACCTAACGGGTCTCAATAAAGATAAAGTCAAATKATATCTTATGTAATGCCAACGAGTTTTTATGAATTAAAGTTGATACTTATATTATTTGCTCTATAAATAGTCCAGAAATTATATATTTTAAAATCAAATTCCTTTGCACAAAAAGCGGTCATTTGGACAGAATATAAATTTTGTTTCTAGAATTTTTGGTCTCACAAATCACTGTCAAAAGGAACCTTCCAAAAGTCATTTTGTGTCCAAATTTTTATATCATCAATAATAATGAGTTAAACAGCTTTTTCCCAAATATCAAGAATTTTGGATGGGTTTAAGGCACTCATTAATACCCTACAACTTTGAGTGACACAGTCCCCAAGACAGATTACACACTCTTCGAGTGACGGCTATTTGGGGGGTCTAAACTCATCATTTTTCAACGATTTTAACTTTATTTTAAAGCTAACACATAAAGCTAACTTCCAGAAAAAGAATCACCCATTTCCATTGAGTTTTGAAGAAGATATAACCGATTTAAGATGCATGCAAGATTCTATCAGCAATGCTCTTTTTGCACCATAATCTTGTATCAAGAACTTGAAAGCTCAAAACATAATATTTTTGAGTGAGACCAGTTGCATTAGAAAGATAACTCATCAAAGTACGTTTTAGAAGAAAAATCAGAATGTTTGGACTTTTATTTTGAAAGATACAGTCGACACAAGTGCTAACAGAATCTGTCAGTTTTCAAAATACATCTTTTCATGATTAAATTTCACATGCAATGAGATTTTCTCCTACTTTCTTAAAGTTCAAAGTTCGTGGATCATAGATTATCATCATTTTGAAGACATTTTCATGTATTTGATGTATAATCTCCCCTTTTGAATTCTCCAGAAAAATTAATTACAAAGAACGAGAAGTAGGTGTAGAAAATGAGAATYTTTGTTATTATATAAAGGTAAGATAACTAGTCTATTACCTTTTGCTTGAAATMTTGAATATTCTTCAWGATTGACARATTTTTAATGATGCTTGAAGATGAAATCGGCTGGAGGGGTATGGTTTAGAGAGAGATTAGAGAGAGGAAAGGTTTATGCAAAAGGAGAATGAAAAATGAGATTTTTCAAAGAATGTGGGGTATTTATATGTGGGTTTAAAGAAAGGAAATGAGCTGGCCTTACTAGAGCCCAAATCCATAAAAAAATTTATTTTTCATATAAACAAAATAGCCCATTTAAATTTATAACAAAATACAATTTGTCAAATATTAATAAAAATATCATTATTAAATCAAAGTTCCACATTTTTGGTAAAATTATTTGGACATTCAAATAAAACTTTTTATAATTTAATTTGGACTTTTATAATATCAACTTTATTTTGTTTGGAGAATTTTAATGAATTTGACATTACATAAGTTAACTTTATCAGTTACCCATCGAAATAGTATTTTCTGAACTATATTTTGGGAACTAAGCCAGATGAATTCTAATCAACATGACTAGATCCTAATATAATTCTTAATTTTAAAAATCCTATAAGGTGCTAACCTGACGCCCAAAAATGACGGATGTCACAGAAGATGAAGATTGGCAACATTTGTGTAACTCATAGTGAAGACATCATGAAGTATTCTTGTTAGAGTCAGATATATCCACCAAAATAGCGTCATTCAATCCTTTGAGTCCCAGCCATTACCAAAACAAAGTAATGTATCTGATCTTAATTCAATTACCTAAACAACAAATTCACTACTTCTGAGTAGATATGCTTAACATATGATTGCTCCCAACTCCGTCTATGTTACTAGGTAGGGCCTTTTATGTTCAAATTGGTTTCTTACACACAATGATATATGATCAGTCTTGAAATCAATGATCTTTTTTGAATTGAAAGAAAGTGTTTCATATAGAATGAGCACCTACAGATTGAATTTTTATTATCAAATACTCTCATGATAAGCATGAGAGTTTTCAATAAAAGACCAATTAATTAAGGCCTTGCATTCTAGGAAGCTCCAAAGCTACAACGCATAGTGGCGGATGCAGAAAAATATATTGTAAGGGGCATGATATAAGATAAAATAATAATTAACTTCAATTTCATACAAAAATGATAAAAAGTTACCTCTTACAACTATTTCCTACGATTCTTCATCTTTTTGAATTGAGTAATTACATCATCATTTGAAACTGTGAGAAGTGCTTCTTTTTCTATAGTACATATCATTGCAACATTCAAAAATTCATCACCATTTTGTTGCGCAAAAATCTGACTTCACAATCTTCATAGCAGAAAAACATCTTTTGACTGTTGCAGTAGCAACTGCAAAAACCAAAGCTAACTTCAATAATCGATATACTAGAGGATAAGTTGTATGTTTTTTTGTTTCCACTAGCAATCTAGCGAGCTCGGTAATACCACTCAAATTGGCAAATCTTTCATCTTGACGCATAATCAAATAGTACATGTTAAGTTGTTTCTCAAGAGCGATCCTTTCCATATGACTAAAATCTTGAGGATACAACTTACTCAACTTCAATAAATCTGATACATTGAACTGCGAAAATGAATCACATGGACTCAAAGCTACTATATTTTTAAGCAATTCAGTGCTTACCTCACTAAATCATCCCCAGACTCTTGAATTTGTATGTCCACAACAGTGTTGAAAATATCAAACTTGTAATAATGACGATTGGTGATGTTGGTCCTTTGTCTTCCGTTTTTTGAGTAACGATCTTCCATGTCCAAAGCTTTAATACCATTTGTTTCACACAAAAAAAATACATTTTCTTTAAAAGTAGATAAAAACCAGTTTCTCTAAATTGTTGCAATAGTTGGTTGGTTCCTCTTATCAATGAAACCGCTTCCAAAATATTTTGATCCTTTTTTTTAAGAGCATGTGACAACAAGTCTGTGACCTCTAAAATATGAAACATCAAATGTAAATAAATCACGAAATCAAATGTCTTCAAATATGCTAAAATATTAGTTGCTTGAGTGCGACTAAAACCATTATCCCCGTCCTCTTTAACATACTGGAGCACTTCAATAATACTCGGAAACAAAGCAATCAAGCTCAAAATGGTTTTGTAATGAGAACCCCACCATGTATCTCCGGCTCGTATAAGAGAAAGCTCTTGGTATTTCCCTGTTCCAGTTTCAATTTCACACTTACCAATTGTTTCTTGCACTCTATCTTTGTAACTTTGTCGAAGCATGTCTTTACGTTTGCAAGAAGCATTCACCACATTGATCACCATTCCTAACATATTAAAAAAGTTCTCAATTCTGTCATGTTTATTTGCAACCGCCAAAACAACTAATTGAAGTTGGTGAGCAAAACAATGGATATAATATGCCAAGCTATTTTCATTCAAGATCAAGGCCTTTAATCCATTGAACTCACCGCGCATATTGCTTGCTCCGTCATAACCTTGCCCTCTTACTTGTAATCAATCCATGTTCAACAAATAAAGTATCAATGGCAGATTTAAGAATTGAAGAAGATGTCCCCGTCACATGAATAATACCAAAAAAATCTCTTCTTACAATACCATGTGCATCAACATATCGTAAAACCCCCGCCATTTGTTCATTCTTAGAAACGTCACTAGACTCATCAACTAGCAATGMGAACACATCATCACCAACTTCTTTACGAATGGATTTGAGTATTTGATTTGCAAAACAAGCAGCAATATCTTTTTGAATGCTTGGAGACACCATTTGATTATTCTTTGGAATATTTTTTAATATAACTTTACCTACATCCTCATTGCAATCACCAATTAAGGCTAATGTTTCTAATAACATGCCTTTAGAAATAGACATTTCAGATTCATCGTGACCACGAAAGGGCAATGCATTATTCAACAAGAATCTACAGACCTTAATTGAAGCATTTAATCATATTCGGTGATCATTCTTCTCCTTCTCAGTTTGCTTATGAAAGGCAACGACAATAGATCGATCTTGGCTCATTAGATCCTCACTTTTCTTAAGTGCTCTATTGAGAAAACTATTAACGTCGCCGACATGAAGACCAAGTATTTACGTTTTATTCCAACTATTAAAGCCATATGTTACAAAAGCATCACTCTCACATTGTCCTACGCAATTATAAGTCCTAAATATGATCAATCTTCAAGTAATCATTCAAATCAACAATGGCAGATTTCACAATATGATCAAGAACATGTAGAAGAAGATAGAGAGAGAAAGTCAATAACCCAATCTTGGTCAAACTTGTATAAACGTAATCAGATGTTTACAATAAAGCTCATACCAAAGATTACAAAGACTCACCCTTTATATAGGGTCAAACAAGATACAAGTAGTCAAAGTCAAACTATCTAAGAAAAGTCAAATACGATGACTTTTACACAATTATAGACAAAATTAACTTTCAAGACGAATACAATTTATCACTGATTTTCAGTCCTAACATTCTTCCCCTTTGTATTCAGACTTGAAAGAATTTGCACGCTTTGAGTCTCGTTTGAACTTTGTCTATTTAAGCACTCTATGTCTTCTTCAAAAATAATCTTCAACTTGAAACTTCAGACAATCATTTGTTGAGAAAGATCTTCTAACATTCTCCCCCTCGAATGTAGAACCATGATGATCATCTCTTTTGACAATATAGATCATAAACAATAAGGAACTTCAGAATTGATCTTTAGTAAACTGTTGTAAAATTGATCTTCACATTCAACATCTCTCAGTCATTTTAGCATCGGAATAATTTTTTGTAATCATCTCCAGTCGCACTTCTTTTGAGTCTTTTGCCATTATTGAAGTTACTTCTTCTTGATCTTTACAACAAATTCCCTTTATAATGTTCGGAATTGGACATTTCATTCATTATTATATACTCCCTCTTATGATGAAATGAGAATCATTACATCATACACAAGAATGAATGAAATTTTCCGCGAAAGCCGTCAATTCATGAAATTGTAAGTAGATCTTTTCAATTTCACTTGTTTAAATTTTTCAGATTAAGGGAATGAGAATATAACAACCAATTTCAACATATGAAATTGTTTTCAATCTTATAAAAAGATTGGCCTGTGAGTATAACAGATATACTCAGTACAACGGATGTACTATATATATGAGACTTTTTGATGCTCATCTCACCAGGTCTTCCATTCAATCATTAATAGCTTAAAAATAGCATATCTATGAATGTTTTGGCAAAATAACATATAAAATGCAAAATGTGTATAGTGTAGAAAGATAAAGCAAATAATGCTTCTGTTTAGGCTCAAAAAGATAAATCGTGTGAACTACACAAATTTATCAGACTCAATTAGTGATCAAAAAGACTTGAAGGGGGACATATATCCTTCTGACTCAATATCAACTTTCTCCGAATGAGAAATTGATAGATGATGAGCTGCGTGCCCCAAGTGTTATTGAAACACTTATCTGTTGAGAGATAAATGAGTAGCTGGTGGGTTGTGACAAGAATTGGCCTGGGTTTTGCCTTTTTCAATATTAGTCTCGAAAGAATTGAGAACTAATAGATTGTGTGGTATGCCCGGATTTTAAAAGTTTGAAACATGATTTTTATTTTTTTTAATCCTAACGCAACTCTCGTCAATTCTTTTATCTCACAGCAACTACCCCTCTCTTTTTCATTTTAATCTCAGCACACAAACCCTTTTGAATTTAAAGCTCACTCAGATATGGTTGTCCTCTTGGGTAGGTCTGTCGGTTCTGACATTCCATAGAGGTATTTCTGATAAGCACTCAGTCCCTCCTACAGTTTAGCATTATGCACAGTTGATCACAAACAGTTGATCAAAAATATTATTGCAGATAAACACAATGATCAGGTAAAAATTGATCAAGAAATTTGGCTTTTAAGCACAATCAATAAAAGGAATGATGCGACAACGATCAGATTATTCGATATGCGAGAGAAATGAATGAAGATCTGTAAGTACGAGTTTACAGATTCTGATTTTCAAAGAATTCATGAATGTATATCAAACAAGGTAAAAATAAAATCAGAAAATCAACCTTTGATTACTAACGAGCGTATTATCACCGAAAATGATATTATTTACGAGACGTGATAATAACAATTTCAAGAATAGCTGAAACAGGTATCGGATTTATGTACGATGAGAAATTACGCAAGTAAAATCTCAGGAAATACCTGTTCAGAAAATGTACTCGTTTCCAAAAAAAAATCATTTTCCGAAAAAGCATTTATTGAACTTTCTAGAGACTCCTCTTAGAAAGTAGATTATAAAAATGTTTCGATTCAGCTCAAAAATAAAAAAAAAAATTGGAAACATGTTTAGCATGGGTCCAAAACTGTGTTTAAAAACCACACTCGGTTAAGCACGAGTCCTAAACTGAATTGATCAGAAGCCTTTGTTGGACAGTGTACAACTCCCCCTGCATTAGTGTATCAAAGAAATGATATTCTGATCAGCACAAACTTGACACACCTACACAATCATATCAAATAGATTTTGGTACCCAAATGAATTTGGGTCCTATTTTATTAGTATCGGGCTGAGGTATGTTGTAACTTCCAAACCATCTATTTCTATTAGATATTTTCTTTGTAGCACATTGAACAGGATGATCAGAAATAAAATATGATTTATACCAGTTATTGTGATCATACTTGTTCTTACCTTTCTGATATTTGTTGTCTGTACTCCATTTGTTGTATATCTTCTTGTTCACAGAATCTGTTGATTTGCATGTGGAGCACATGATCCTTTTCTTGCTAAGGTTTATCAAGTCAGAATTGGATCTCACAAAACAAAAAAGATTATTAGTAACAACAGGAGTTCGAGATGAAACAAATTCAGATTTATTAACCCAAATGCTTTTAATCTTAGAAGAATAATTGGGTGATCTGATAACATACCCTTGATAATACTGATTTAAAGAACGAGAATAGTTCTTAGAAACAGTTGATTTTGGGCTGCTTGAATAACTGTTCGATTTGGAATAGTCATAGAAGCTAGTTTTACACTGTGATGGAGAACCAATTGAGCTTTGAGCACCAAAAAAGTCTTTGACTTTCTGTAAAAGCCGGTCTCTTTTAACAGTAACTAAATCAAACTGAATTTTAAGTTATGTTCTCATCTTCAGCTCAGTTTCAAGGTCTGTCTTCAGATCAGACAATCTCTTTGTAGTGTCCAGGAGTTTACCTTATAACTCCTTCTGAAGCATTTCAAACTTCTTTTTCTGATTTATTAACTCTCTTCTCTCTTCATCTGAGCTACTCTTCTCATTCTCAGAAGCGATGTCAAGCCATTTTTTTCTTTTTAGCAAGCTCTTTAGCAATAGCAGTATATTTCTTTGTACTATTTCTCTTCTCAAGAGCAAATTGCTTCTTTTCTTCATCTAAAGCCTTCTGCTTTAGAGCAATGTTGTCTGACAATTTTTGTATTTAGCTCTGACACTCTTCTATGATGTCTTTCTTCACTTTATCATTCTTAGCACGTTCCAAGATGATCAGCTGCTCAAAATCCGAGATTTGCTTTAACAACATCTTTGCATTCAGCTCGAGAGAGTTTATCTTATTCTTATAAGATACACGTTCAGCTCCAAATTTTCTTTCTAGTTCAATCACCCTCTTCTTCTCTTTCTCAAGTGTCTTCCTCTCAACTTCTATAACCTTCTCTTTCTCTTCATTCAGTAATTTCCTTAACTCAATTAGATCACTCTCAGACTTATGAAAATTTCCAGTTAAGTCCTCTGTCTCTGTATTATTTCTTGGAGTCGGTAATTCATTTCTTACCTCTTGAAGTTGAATAAACAAATCTTTGTTAGCTTTACTCCAAATTTTTAGATCATCATCATGATCCTTTCTGACAGAGCTGAGAGTGTTTTCTAACTTTTCAATCTTGTATATGAAATCGTTTTCAATACGTTCACATTGTTCTTTATGCTCCCGTTTCAAATCTTTAATAAACTCCACATTCGCATGATTTTCATAAAACACATTAAGATATTTCTCCTTATAACTCTGTAAGCTCTTATCCAACTCTGAGATTCTCTCATTCAACTCCTTATTCTCCAACCCGCTATATGAGTCGACTAATCTCAGGGCGACCATCTGCTTTGCAGATAGCCTGGAGTCACCGCATTTGAACCTCCGTGGCCACAAGGGGATTTTTATACCTCCTTGGATTTGAACCTGGGACCTCCTGTTATTTTTAACCTTTGGAGCCAAGCTCAAACCAATCAGGCACCACCCTTGTGGTTATACCCCAACCAATTAGCGTATTGATCAAACCAAGCCGGACAAAAACGTCTTCCTTTCCTCCCGACAACTTTTATTTGGAAATGCATGACCCCGTGGTTGACAAGGTCCTCTAAGAAAGTATTTTCTCTTTATTTCATCCCTTTGATTAGGATGATATTCCGGAATCTTTTTCCTATCGACTGGATCCCAAGCAAGATTATTCAAATCAATTTCGTAGAGCATCGAAGGAGCAGAGCTTGATTCAGGTGTTGATGCTTTCCTTTTAAAAAATCTTTCCATTTTTTCTAGCAATAGCAATAACAAGATAAAAATCAATGGTTTATCTTTATCAATAGTAATATTTCCATTTGCCTAAAAAATTGCAAAATTAACCTAACATTTCCATTTGCCCACAAAATTCTAAAATTAACCTAACATTTCCATTTGTCTACAAAATTTTAAAATTAACCTAACATTTCCATTTGTCTACAAAATTGCAAAATTAACCTAACATAAAGCATTTACCAAAACACCAATTATGAAGCAAACAACAAAATCAAAGTCATTAAAAATTAAATATTGGAATTTGGAAATCAAATTTTTTTTACTCAAATTAGAGTAATCGCAGAAAGCAAACAGTGCACTGTTGTCCAGGAAGCAACTAAGCAAGGAAGAAGCAGGAAGAGGGAAGAGGGAGGGAGCAGCCGAGCAGTAGCTGTAGCGATGTGCAGGTAGCAGGAAGGCGGAAGCAGGAACCAGGAAGAAGCAATGGTGATGTGCAGCCACTGCCACGCGCCAGTAGTCGTGAGTAGTCGTGGAGTGGATGAAGGTGGAGTCATGAGAATTGGGATGGATCGGTGGAACTTGGAAATGGAAGACTAAATGAATTATGGATTTGGTAGTGGGGCCTTTATGATTATCTTATTGGGGGCCCAATCATATAAAGGTAAAAAATATAAGTAAAAAAATGGGCTTTCTAGAATTTATTTTGTTGGGGACCAGGACCCCAACCTCTTTTACATGCATCCGCCACTGACAATGCAAATGGCTCTTAAAACCTTTGAATGTGTTAGACCTTGATCTGGTCCTACAATTCCTCCTCCAAAACGAGCATACTGTAATTGGCCCACTTTGAATGATATTACTCATATAGGAAAACAAACAACCATAATGTTTGTGGAGTTTGACTTTCTGCATGATAAGAACATGTTGAGTATAGTGGGCTTTTGTTCTTTCTTTTTGTTCGTAAGATGGATAATCGTTTCCTTAATTTTATTTCTACTTGTCTCCGTATTTGGTTTCAACGATGGTTTTTGCCATATTTCCCTAATTATCTCAATGTCGTTGAACTCGTTAACTTAACTGCCTTTTTTAATCTCTTTGCATTCTGCGTCTATCGAATATGGCTTTTCTTTTTGTTACCGTCTTGATTAAGCAATGAAGGGACATCAAGATCTAGGGAAGAATCGAAGCCGTTTTTTGTTCGTATCGTTTATTAAGGTTAGTTTTCTTTCTCATTTCGATCATGTCTTTGAACTGATCTTCTTTTTCTCTCTTTTTCTTTTTGATTTGCCAAGGCCGGTGCCATGCACCAATTGAAGTGCTTGGAGTTTTGTTCAATGAATTGAAAGAAAAACAGACAACTTTGGATCAAAGGTGTTGATTGGTGAAGGTTCATATGGAAGAGTTCATTTTGCCAACTTAAACAAAGGTAAAATTGTGGTTGTTGTCTAGAAGCTCTATGTTTCTACTAAACCTGAATCTAGTAGGGAGTTTTTGATTCAGGCAAGTCGACAATCGTATGAACTTAAATATTCATATTTTGAATCAAATACACCATGTTTGTCTTTAAATTTTAAACCTAAGGTTTCCATGGTCTGTGACAATTCTATTGATTTGTAGCGCCGAAAGGAAACCGACGTGTCCTGGCTTATGAATTTGCAACCATGGGATCTGTTCATGAAGGTTTAAGGTTAGTTTGGTTTCTGATTTTGATCATGTCTCTTTTTAAGTGTATAACTCTTACATATGACAAATAAAACTCATTACTCAGCTTTAGTGAGGTTGGAAGCCTTGACTTCTAGGAAAGTTGGGTTACCGGATACTGTTGGTCCAAAGGACTAAAAAGGAAGGTTGTAACTGAGGCTTCAAATTTGTTATTTACACATATTAGGAAAAATCAAATAAAAGAGAGAGAAAATGCGAGTGATTTTGGCCCGCTGTGATTTCATTGTGCACTTACATCAACTCGATTTGTTTGCCGTTGCTCATTAGCGGTGGCTATTTTTATTAATAGCAAAGGAATGTGCTTAAAAATGATTTAGGTTGGATTTTCATGCTAATACACATTGTTGTTAAGGGAATTGATATTCTGATTTTTATGGATCTTGGAGGTGTGCATGGGCAAGTTGTTACTTTCATGAAACTAGGGGTTGTTAGTTTAGTTTGTGCTCAGTGGATGATGGCCTCAATGTTCGCTCTCGTGATATTTTGATTCTAATGATGAAGAATGTTTTTACTTTTTTTACAAATCATGCAATTACATACATAATGTTCATTTACATGTTGTCCCAAACATTTCATTATTATCCAAATCCTAGGAAAAATACAACTCAATACATGAACTATGCTCGCCAATACAATTGCATTACTGATGGTGATTCTCTAGGAGACGATGCACGCTACTCTAAGGACGTTATTCTCCCCGATAGATAGTGTGTTTGTTACTTGGGTTAGCGTTGTGCCTTGTTCTTCAAACAAAAATGGAAGAATATTGAATTGCACATTGTCAAAACCTGTTTTCAATTTGATTTGTTTGTCTACGTCTTTTGTACTACTTTTTTTGTATCATAGCATCACTATCACCAACGCTGCCAAGGAATTCGAAGTTGTGGATGTCATCGCTTAAAAAAATTCGGCTACCAATGTAACCCAACTCTTTTTGCTTAGCATCTCTCATTCAAATAGTTTTATGATATAAGATGAATTTCTCTCAGTTTGTATGTTAATGCATTACAGATTGTTGGATTATCTTCTATGATTTGGGATGGGTTTGAAAACCCATAATTTTCTTCTCAAACATCCATTTAGGATCTTATGCTGATTTTTGGTTCTTTTCGGTTTCTATTAACATTGGATTGGTGGTTTATGTGATTGGATTAATGCCATCAAAGTTTCATAAGCAAGAGTCTCTCAGGAAACTTTGATTTCAGTTTAATTGGATTTATTTAATTATGTTTATAATCATTGATCTTTGAGTTTGTTGTGATTTTACAGTTGAGTTCTTTTGTAAGGAGAAATGGTTTCAACAGGTTTTATCTCTGTTTGCTTAAACTATTGCACTAACGAGATTAAAATTTTAATTTCGAATTCAATTTTGGTTTTTGGCTTTGCTTGAATTTAGGTTTTTTATTCGAATTTGGTTTTGAATTAATGAGATGAAATTTTTGGTTTAAATCCAGGTAAAGCTTCATCTTTAAATCACATTTGATTCAAAAGCCTCCAATGCTGGAAAATAAAAACATGAAAAAGAATATAAAATTTAGTTTTGAATCTAAACCAAACCAAATATCAAAAACCAACCTCAAAAGTTTTCAAGTTCGGTTTGGTTTTTCCCTCATTCAGAATTCTGTTGTATTGCTAACTAGAAACCGATAATCATAATTTCCTAATTTTTGAAGGTGAATTGATAAACATTATTACCTTCATAGCTTCATGAATATAGATGTAAACTCTATATAACCCACAAAAACGGGTTATCGCATTTCATCAATTTTCGAACATTTTTTAAAAGATTTTGGAGAATTCGCCTTTGATTTTTCCTGGTAACTCACAAATTTATGTCTTTTAACTTGTGGCTTAACATCCTACAGATGAAGGTAGAGAAATGGGGTGAAAGCATATCAGATTCAATAATCAATCAGGGGTATATGTTTTCGATGTGTGGAGGATACAATAGATTTATGGTACTATTTGTTCCATGCTATATTGATCGCATATCATGATGTTGTGTGATGCATAACAACCCATTCAATCACCCAATCATTTTTTTCATATACGAATTTGCTACTGGTTTATATAGAGATGATAGAGATCTAGGAGGAATTTTTGGGGGAGCTAATACTCCGTAGGCTGAAGAGCAAAAGGAGGAATCCGCCCGAGGAGGGGCTCGCGTCTGATTAGCTAGTTGGTGAGGTAATAGCTTACCAAGGCGATGCTGGCGGCATGCTTAACACATGCAAGTCGGACGGGAAGTGGTGTTTCCAATGGCGGACGGGTGAGTAACGCGTAAGAACGCCCCAAATGGTGAAAGAATCATCGTATGCCCCGGAAGATAGATTGTGTATGAAATTTATGGTTTCTATTGGTGTAAATCCACTCACCTCAATGGCTTTCTTGATAATTCAGTTATACATACAGTTTGTGTAGAAATTTACTTGGAATGCACTAGAAAATCTTCAATTGTGTGACCTCCTCCCCACCATGTGAAAATCACTTACGATATTGCATTTAGATTTTAGGGTGACCAAGTTCCATTGATCAATATGGAAAAAGGCATGGTCGTTTTTAGGGTTTTTCTGTCCAAATATCTTTTGTTATCACAAGTTTATGCATTTATTGTTATTTTCAGATGCCAGCTCGTTTATTTCTTGCAACTTGCATAATGAAATTATGCAAGGAAGTGGATCTTAGTATGATACCAGAAGATATTTTGATTATGAAGCCACTTCTTACAACTTATTTGAGTACACAATTGCACTATGCAGGTAAATTATTACGTAATGTTTTTCTATTTGCTTGAAAAATGAATGTTGTATTTATATAATGCGTCAAACCCACATAAGTAATCCTATTGTCAAATGAGTTTGGTC